ACTTATCAAGGCAGAGTTCTCTCGCTCTCCACAACTTCTGCATTTCACTCCGAGTGAAAGTCATAGGCTGACATGATCTGGCCACATTTCCTCTCTGACCTCATCTCCTCTGTGCACCTGTACACTGTGCTTCAGCCACACTGGCCTCCTTGCCTCTACTTAACAGTCCAGGAACATGCCCAACTCAGGAATTTTACATCGGCTGTTCCTTCTGCTTAGAACGTGTTCCCTGGATATCTGCATGACTTTCTCTCATACTTCCACCAGATCTTTGTTCAAATGTCATCATCTCAGTAAGGACTGCAGGAAGTATTCTAATTTCAAACTGCAATCCTTTCCAGACATTCCCTATTCCCCTTCTATCCTTTGTTTTCTCCATAGCACCTAAAACTACCTACCTACCTATATTCTGTTTATCATTCATATTACTCAACTAGGAAGTCAGCTCCGTGGGAACAGGGACATTTTCACTTTTGTTTACTGCTATATCCCTTAAGCTCAGGAATGGTGCCTGGACATAGTACCAACTCATTAATAATTGTTGAGTAAATGAATGTATCTTACAGAAGCTAAAATGAAAAGCAATGTTACCATGAATGAAAACCTCTTCATTCTGACAAGTAATGATTTAAATCTAAATTGTTTTTATTAGAAAAACTTCTAAGGACATTTGAAAACTTCAGCTTGAAGCTTTTAGAGTCTACATTTTACCAAATACTACACAAGGTGCCCAGATACAAACACAAACAAGAAAAAGACCCCGTCTACATAGAGGGCAATCTAATGGGAGATATAGGTGTGTCAATGAACAATTAACCTATTATAATAAAAGTATGTTCAGAGTTCCACTATCAAGGCTGACACAGTTGATACAAGATTACTAGATGTTTAGGAGAGGATAAGACATGAAGTACTATTTTTTAGCTAGATCATAATGAAGTAAGGTTTTAGTAAGGCATTCAAGGGGGGACCAAGTATTTCAAGTAGAGAAAAGTACTCAAATAGGAGAGATGCCAAGAAATGAGTACCTGTGGCACATTCAGAGAAGGGTACATCTATCTAGACATGGTGGGACAAGAAGCTTGAAATAAGGTGGAACCTCCTTTAACATTCTGAAAGTATGGTGAGACACTGAAAGATTTTAAGCAGAAAAGTCAAGGCCGTATTATGATTAATAAAGGAAATGTTTGTGACAGTAATAAAGACTAGAGGCTGTTGAAACAGATTAGGTAAGAAATGATGATTAGGGGTTCTTTAATCATTTTTGTGTCATGGACTACTTGCACAGTCTGGGAAAGCCTCTGGACTCTTTCTCAGAATAATACTTATAAATGCATGGAATAAGATACACAGAATTACAAAGGAAACCAATTAAATTGAACTATAGTTACCAATATTTTTTAAAAATTAAGTTCACCTATAGTAATATATATAACAAATATTAAAACCAGTAATATTAAATGTATAATAATTTCAAAGCAATTATGAGCATAAACAATATTTCAAAATATAATTCAGTAATTCAGAATACTTTGAGATATATGTCATATATAATGTGATATGGAAACATCTGTGTTTCTATTGGTGACAATGTTGTGAGTACTGCCAATATTACCGTTATGTGTTACCTATATTCATAGTGAAAAGAAATGCTTAACTTTGGTTAGAGGATAGTAAATACCAACATGTAATTTTTTCCTATCCACGTTCCTGGATATTAAATAAGAACCCCTCACACAGACTAAGGTCAAGGCAAAGGACCAGGAATGAAAGAGATATTTAAGGAGAATATATTTCAAATAAACAAACATCTTCTGTTAAGTAAAAAAAAAAGGCAAATAGATAAAATAATCCTACCCTAAATTGGATTGACTCCAGAGAGTAAAAAGGAAATATCCCTATATCAACTGTTACTTAACAGTTTCCTTTACTTTGCTAAAAAGAGCACAGACAAACAACGGTAATACCTCCAAACCATGATTCATTTTCAAGATGAATCCCTCCCTGTTCAAAGGTTTACATTGTTTTTGACCAGCATCAGACTGTTTATCCACATGAACTGTAAATACATCATTTTTAGAACTAACCAACAACAATGCCCATTTTGTTTTGACGTGTAAAATACAAAAGAGAACACGGAGAAAAATAACCATCACTCCAGTGTCTGCATTTAAAAATGAGAAAAACTACACAAAGTAATGCGGTGTAATTCCATAATACATTTTTACATAATAGAATTTTAACCCATGTTATGAGGAGCTAAATGCCTCCTGAAATTCCTAGCTTTCAAAAAGGGAATATTAAGTATGGCAGTATCACCACTCAGCCTAGTTCCTCTCTGAGATGTCTCCTGTGAGCTTTATGCAGCAGTTACCAGGAGAGTTGTGAAAGCAATAAAGTTGTGAGAAAATAGTGTATTTTGCCTCAGAAATCAAGTATTGCTCTTCAACTATGTATTCATTTACAAGTGACAATCCTTAATTGACTGGAACTTTGCACCCTTCAGCAAAAATATACTGAAAGGTGTTTGTTCACAGTCATTTAATATCTGTCTTTTCCTTTGGAATGCATGATACAAGAGGGCAGAGATGACTTTTATTTTTTCTGCACATATGCTCATAGCCTAGCACAGAACCTGACATGTGGTAAGCATAAGAGGGAAGGAAGAATGGGAAGAAAAAGAAGCTTAAAATAATACTCTCTGTTGATGTATAATAAATGTAAGGACTACAAATCCTAATTTCTTACTAATACATCTGGTTCTCTGGTCAACCTGGCTGCCCACACTGAATCTCTGCCCATAGTGTTTGGTGAAATTTAAGAAAAATATTAAACACAAAGAGAAAGGGCCTCAAAAGTGTATGGTATCACTTAATTATACCACAAAATATTTACACCTAAAAATCTAAGCAATTATTTCTGAAGTAAAATTTCTTACAAATGGCTGAAAATACAAATATCTCATGGCCTTCCAAATTTTAAAAAAATTTTTTAATAGTTTTTTTTTTAATGACTGTTTTTCACCTGGGACTTATTCTGAACGATTTTTAGCCTTGAAGGTCATGGGTGCTGGTTAAGTTGTTAATGAAACATGAATAATAATTGCTTTTACAAAAATAATAGGGCTGAAGCATTAAGGCATCATCTAAAGTGAAAACTGAGTTCCCAAACTTTTTTGAGTTACAGAACTTCTCCCTAGGATTCCATTGACCTATATATTTTTTCAGTATATGTTAAAACTTCCCAAGGAAAAGAATTTATCCAGAAAATACATATCTACATATATTTGAAAAGATATGTGTCCAAGCAGAAGCTGAAACAGATAAGGACAGGTATACAGCCAAAGGAATGACAGAGGTACTCAAATACTTTTATACACATATCCACGACAGCACAAAGATGGAAACAACCCAAATGTCCATCATTTGGAAGAATGGATAAAAAACTGTGGTATATACATTCAATGAAATATCAGTCAGCCACAAAAAAGAATGAACATACTACATGAAAGAAGCCAGAAACAAAAGATCATATATTGTATGACTGCAGTTATATGAAATATCCAGAACAGGTAAATCCAGAGAAATGGAAAGCAGATTGGTAGCTATTAGGGACTCGGGGAGAGAGAAATGAGGAGTAATTGCATAAAAGAACATGTGTTTTCTTCTGGGGTGAAGAAAAGTTTTGACTAGACAGAAGTGGGGTTGCAAAACACTATGAAGGTACTAAATGCCACTGAACTGTTAACATTTAAATAGTTAACTTTGTTATGTGAATTTCAGATCAATTAAATAAATAAGAATTGTTTTCTGTAGTAACCATAAACTCTCCCTATAAAATTCCCTGTTATTATAAAATCTAAATTGGTCATCTGCCAAGGAGACTCTGCAATGCTCTAGCAAGAGCATCATCTAATTTCAACAAATAATTTCTGTCATTCTGGTGCAAATGAAATGGTAGAACTACTCTAGCACTTTCTACCAAGTTCATGATTCACATACACATTTCCACTCAAAAAAGAGTACACACTTGCTCCAACAAACAAGTACAAAAATTTTCATTGTATCTTATACATAATAACCCCACACCAGAAATCACCTAAATAATACATGAACAGAAGTAGAAAGGATGAATAAATAAGTAGAAGCATATTGGTACAATGGAATATGTAAGAACATGGAAATATATGAAGTAAACCTACATAGAACAACATGAATTAATCTCACAAATATGTTAAAGAAGCTGAATATCTGTATATTAAGTAATATATAATACATACTCTATAATTCCATTTACATAAAAGGGAACAACAGGGTTTCAGTACTTCTTTAGAAGTAAAACTATTTTTAAAAAGAAAGTGGTTATCATAAAAGCCAAAATCACAGTTTATTTTTATGGAAAAGGGGCACAAAAGGTGAATTCTCATGTTTCATTTATTGGTTGGGGTGATGGTTACACAACTATGTGCCGTAAGATAAATTATTGGGCTATACATTTTCTGTTTTTGTTTTTTCTGTAACATAGTGATAGAAATCCCAGAGAGATGTGTTTGAAAATAAAATGCAAATGCTGTTCTAAAATGCACATGACTCATGACTATTCCTCTCCAACAATGAATATGCCTTAATGAACTATAGTACTTATTCTCGTTAAAGACTTCTGGTAAGGGATTTTTGGTAAAGACTGACGATATGAGATTCAATATCTAAATTTAGGTATATAGCCTTGAGTTTCATATTTCCATATGCTACAATGTATCCCTTCTATACTGAAAAAGTTAGTTAGAAAGCCAAAGTAGCATGGTAAAGATCACTATTACTATATTAGCTTCAATATACTGTATGACTTAATAAATTAAGAATGTCTCAAATGAGCATAAAATCTTGGTTTTTCATAAACAGATTAGAAAAATGAGTTTATTTTATCCTAGATCTCAAAAATTAAGGATCAAAGAGAAAAGGATGGTAGGGTTCAGTGGAGAGAGAGAAAATTAGGTTTACCATGGAGAGGTGATCCAGAAGGGCTGCTTGATAGACCTGGAACAGGGCTACAGCGACCTCCCTGCTTAGACGTCAGTTCTTGTTCAATCTCTTCCAGCCCAGCACTTTTCTGAAAACGACTCATACGATTCACGACCCGTGGTGACATGTGTGTTCGAACACAGGGCTGGCCACCATAAGGGTTGATGGGGAAAACATGGGAAGTGCCACGGAGCGTGCTGACCACAACCCAGCGACAGTCATGGCTGAAGCAGATGTCTTGTACCTAGAAATGAGATATGTAAAGACACAAAAATGACTGAAACTACTTGGATTTATCTAAGAGTATCACACACACATCACCAAATATAAACAGAAATGTGTACCTTGTTATCAAATTTACCTACGATCAGGTTATAAGCAAAAAAGGTACTCTACAAATGAGTTTGATAGTAAATACTGATTCAAAGTCTGTATCAGGGATTTGATAAGCTTTAGAAGAAGGAATTCTGTCCCTTGCTGCATAGAATGATGAATAGGACTTAGGCAGGTTCATGCTATAACAGAGTTGTAAGAAAAGATGTCCAAGTCAGGTGTATTTCTCTAAATGAACTTGCTTTCTAATAAGCATAGAACAGTAAAAATAAAAACAGACATTATACTATGTAGTTGAAGTTATTGATCCAATTATTCACTCAACAAATATTAGTTGGGTACCATGCTAAGCAGCAGGAACAAAGAGGTGAATAAGAAATAAACTTATGGCCCATAGCCTAATAGGAGGAAAAGACATATAAAAAGTGAAGTAACTGTCTTAAGTACAAGGCGCAGTGGTAACAAAAGGCAAGAAAATATGAAGTCTGCTTGTAAGAGGTGAAAAGCACATGGTAATGTCTGAGGGTTAGGAGTGGCCCCCAAACCACCTAAACAGGCCTGGATTCTGGAATTATTTTGAAGAAAGATTTCCTTACAAAGAAACACATGAAGGACATTCCAGTTTAGACAGATTCAGAGATTCCATTTTAGATACAAATGCATAGACTTTAGATTGAAATGATGGGCAAGTAGTTCAGTATGTCAGAAACATCAGAGTCAGCAAAAGCCAGAGTAAGAGAAGTTTGAATTTTATTTAAGTAATAGTGGAGGTTAAGATTCCAGTTTTAGAAGGATTATGGGAAAGGAATGTAGGGAAGTGGATCTGCAATGGGGTGAGGGTGAATGAAGATAAATTAGGTAGAAGTTCCTTCAATAGGCAGGGATATAGGACCCTAAAGAGAGGTGTGATGCACAAGAGGAAACATCTCGAAACACTCTCGTGACAAATACAAAACTGAACAACTCATGTATCTACAGTGGTGGCGAATTCTGTAGGCTTTAGAGTCTCTGTTGTCTGTTGCAACTACTCAACTCTGCCTTCTATTGTCAAAGTAGCCATAGGAAATATGTAAATGAAAGAGTGCAGCTATGTTAAAAAAAAAAAAAAAACTATTTACAGAAACAAGGGCGTCAGTTGACTTGATCTGGGCAAATCTAGTTGCTGATTTATATGACACTTGTTAGGCGCTGACTGCAGGAGTTCCAATAGTTTCAAATTTACAAATTGAGTTTACTGTGTTTTCCTTGATTCTAGTTGCTGATTTATATGACACTTGTTAGGCGCTGACTGCAGGAGTTCCAATAGTTTCAAATTTACAAATTGAGTTTACTGTGTTTTCCTTGATATCAATCTAATGGTGACAACTTAAACAAAAATGTCTCCATTTACTTTTATACTTAAAAAAGAAAGCCCAGTAAAATTCAATGTTGTTCTAACCATTTTAAGCATAGCCTCTAAAAAGAAGGCAAGTCACAGATAATTAAGATTTTCTACATTGACTAAATAATGAACTAAAATAACTTTCCACCACATAAAACAATTATCAAAAAGTGCTTAAAAACAAAACAAAAAGAATCCAGATAAGGCAAAGTATGGCAGAATAAAAACTTGTTTATGAGTGGGATTTAACATGAAAATGCATATATATATGTATATAAATGTATGATTGAGAGCATATTAATCATCATTATCACAGGAGCTAAGTAAACTCTTCTGCCACAGAAAACAACTTTCTAATATATTAGATCTTCAAATAAGCCTAAATTCAGATTAAAATCATAATATTCCAGAAATATTCCATGAACAAAAGCTGTTATAAGTATTCTTCAAAGTGCAAGTCTCTAAAAGAACCCAGAGCCTTTGAAATAAAAAACAAATTTTATTCTTATAAATCAAGACAAATTATTTCATTGCTAGACTATTGCTAGACAAAAATGATCAATTTTTGGGTAAATCCAAAATTCAACTACATGTCTGCCCATTTCAATTACTGTGAAATATCTAAGTGACACACTCATGTTATAATTAAAGAATCTCCTGAAAGTGGACAAATTTAACTCCCAGGGATTCTAGAATTATTAATAAAAAGTCATTCCACAAGTGTTTTACCTCTGTAGGTTGCCTACAATAAATTTCAGTTAAACTTATAGAAAAGCAAGAGAAAAGAGAAGAACAAAGAAAAATGTAAACAGCAGAAGCAAAAGAAACACAGTACCAGATGAATTTAATATCATAATATCTAATGCATTAACACAAGACAGAATCAAATATATAAATAGAAACATCTTTAGACATATTGAGTAATTTATGTTCCATCCACCATTAAACTAAAGCATATTATCTAAAACCTTTTTCCAAAACACTTATAATCAAGACCACTTCCTGGTCTATCAAGTAAAGGAGTTTCCTTTTTTCATTTCAAGAATTCTTCTGATATGAGGTGGTGCTAACAATCAGTGTCAAGGCAGGAAGACAGAATCCCACCTCAATGCCTATTTAGAAAACTGCTGTTAGAGAAGTGATGCTGCTCTGTGACCCTGAAGACATATCAGGACACATAAACAAGCAAAGAAGGGCTGCTGAACATATTTGCTGTCAGGAGACTTGAGAAAGTTTAATCCTTTAAATAACATTACAGAGGATAACAAGTTGCCAAGATGCAAAAATATTACCATGTTATCAGCAAAGAGCTAGGTGGCTTGTCATACTTTATTAAAAATAAAAAGGACTACGAAAGTTATACTAGTAATAATATGATGACATCACCTATGTGATCTTTTCATTTTCTTAACTGAAATACAGTTGATATATAGTGTTACATTGGTTCAGAGAACAACTTAGTCATTCAACAATAATACACAGTGTAGTTGTACTTTCATCCCCATCATTAATTTACCTTATAATTTTTCATCTGCATGATGTTTGACTTCAATTTTGGAATGATATTTCCAGTTATTTTCTCATCACAAAATAAGAGAGCTAGATGGGAGTTGTATCTCTGATTTAGCTCTATAGTACTAAATATCATGGCACACTTACCATATACAGATCAGGCAACTGTTACAAAAAGAAGTTAAATAAGTACAGGTGCCAAACAAGTACTATCCAAATACCTACTCTGAATTTTAGGAAGCAAATATATTTGGATACTTTTTATTTAAAAACACTATCCTGAACTCAGGAATTCAATCCAAGCAGATTTGGAAAGCAAGGGACATGTTGTATGTCTCTTCCTTAGCATTTCAAAATGGTATTAAACTGAAGCAAAGAATGAATGTGGACAGAAGATAACTGCAGGCTTCTTTTAGAACAGGATTTAGGAAACTTTTCCTGTACAAGGCCAGATAGTAAAAGTTTTGGCTTTGTAGGCAAGGAAGCAAAACCATGGGTACTACATAGGTATTTATAAACAAGAAAGAAAACAAATTTTGACAAAATTTTCAGTGAGTATAACTTTTTTGTAAATATAGGTCTACTAATGAGAAAATTGAATCCTATTTTATAGGAGATAATGTTTTGCTTATTTGGGATTCCATGCTAGTATTATTATCATCATCAAATAGATTCCAATGCTCAAGTATAATAACCATTCTTAGCTTGTGAGAGTTAAAAAAACAGACAGAGGGCCATTCACAGCCCCTGGACCACAGTTTGCTGACCTGTTTTATACATCATCATGGTAGTAAGTGTAGACTTGTCAGAGCTTCATAAAACTCAAAGCAGAGAGGAGGGAAATTTAGTGAAAAACACCACAGTAAGACCCTGACGTCAGGAAGTATTATTCTTAGAGTTTACAAGGTACTTCGCAGTAACCTGTTAAAAGGAAAACTATACAGAAAGCCTTCCCATAAGAGGAATCCATACAAGATATGAATTAAGAACATGAGACCAAAGAGATTACAGTTCTTTTCTAGATTTAATAGCAAGCATTTTCTTTTTGTCCTCAAGGTGAATATAGCTGTATTCAACAATAACACATAATTGCTGGCAAAAATAATTTTAGTTAAAGAAAAATCACAAACTCATACACACATAAATCCCACAACCCAGAGTCAATTATCTCTTAGTATCTTGGAATACATTCTTCCATATATCTCTTAATGCATAAGTATATATGTACATATGTATATATTTATGTATAGATATGTATTTACATATATAAATACATATGCATATAATAAGTATATGTGATATATGTAATATATAAAATATGGTCTATATAATAAGCATATATAATGTATATAAGTACATACAAATATACATGTGTATTATGTATAATATATACATATATAATCATAATATATAGAATATATTATATATGCTTATTTAATATACATATTTTGTATATAATGCATATGAACAGATGTAAGTACATGTAAATACATATATATCTTATGTCTATATATAATATATAATACATAAAATACAAACATATACAATAAGCAGGTATATTATGTACATAATATGTGAGTACATATACATATAAATATACATATGTACATATATCTATATAAATACATACCTGCACATAAATATATACATACATACATAGAAGAAGCATAAAAAAGCAAATTGTATCTACCACTTACTAACTGCATGGCTGTGGAAAAGTCACTGAATTACCCGGTGCCTTCTGGTTCTTCATTTGCAATATGGGAATAATAATGCAAATCTCATGGAGTTTAGGTTTAATAAATTAACATCTAAAGCACTTAGTGCCTAGCACTTAACAAAGATGTTTGCTATTATTATAATTACCATAAAAACATACCCCTACTCTATCCAAATGTCTGTTCTCACTGATATCATCATAGACTAAAACTATCATCTCTCTACCAAGTTACTACATTACTCTTAACGTAGACTCTTAACTGAGACCACCTACAAGCAACAAAAGATAAAGTAGATAA